AGGTATTGATCATTTATTTTAGATTCAATAGACATGCGAGATAAAATTGAGGGATTTTTATTAGAAAATCCAATAATTAAATTTAAAAAAAATAAAAAAGTCTGTAGTAGATATTCATTATGGAACAGTACGAAATAGAGAATTAAATTGAAAGAGTAAAATTGTAATTAAAACATTTTGTAATTACTTGAGTTTTATTTTGTGTTATTTACTGAAAGTGATGGTTTGAGTTTCCAGGATACAAGATACATTATTCGGCCTCTTTCTCTCAGTAACATACTCTTTCAGCGATTGCCGCCATTTCTAGTAAGTTAGTGTTCTTATTCTTATTCTTATTCTCTCGTGTCTCAATTTTAAGAATGCTATAAAAAAAAGGGGTTTAAACTTAATCGCTAAAACTGTTGACCGTTTATGTCTGAGTATGAAAAATTAGGGTTAGGATTTAAGGTTATTTCGATTACATAAATCATGAAAATGAAATTGAGTTCGAAGTAGAATATACTCTTTGTTGATTATTTTTTGTAAATCACTAACCCTTTTGATTTCAGGATAGAAAATGGAGGTTGTTTACAAAATATTTGACATAGCTAAGAGAGCTTCAAACAACAATACAGTGATAAATGTTGGTTTGTTTTCGTCTTTTGCATTACTGGGACTCAGATCTTGGAATCAGCAAAATACCGTTGAAGCTTTAGAAGCTGAGAAGGAATCTCTAACCAAATCCAATAAGTCAGTTAGGAAGTCTCTCTGGGATTGGAAACAGCAGCTTTATGCTGAAGCCGCAACTGATTCGGCACCAGTTCCTCTGGAAAGACTCCAAGCAATCTATGGAGAAGCCCTGCCTCCTCAGCATTCTGCATTTGGTAATTCATTTTTATCTATTCTCTTCATATACTGTTTGTTTAGATTTACTTTTTTGATGTTATCTGCTTGCATAAGCTCGTGACACTGTTTGGGAGGACTTGCTAAAACTGCTAGATATGTCCCTAAGTTATTTTCAGCTTATTTTCATAAGTTCTGTAAGATAACTTATGAAACAACTTATAGTTTATCTGAAAATAGTCTGACTTTATTTTATCTTTTGTTATACAAATTACTTATAGATAAGCACTTAAAAGATAAATGTTTATGCTTCATACGCTTAATTAAGTTTTTTATTCAAAAAAGATTGTAGTTTTCTGTGAGGAGTTATACTTCTGCTGTTTCGTGGGCTGTCCATCTTGCTATTTGGACTGTAATTGTATTCCTATATTTCAATTGTATGTGGTTGGAATGGATGCATAGGAGAATCAGTATGCTTTAAGATTGATCAATTGTATGAGAGGGAACCTAGTTTCATTGTCCCTGTATGGTGATTAGTCAGGAAAAACAGAACACTTATAACACCTGATATGATATTACTGTTGAAAGATCCGGAACACTTATAACACCTGATATGATATTACTGTTGAAAGATCCGGAGGTATTTTATTACTTGCTGAGGTAGTTCTATTTTTTTTAAAATTCTGGCTTTCAATTCTATTTCTTATAGATTTTTTCCAGAAAGGAAAACAGAAAAATAATGCCTTAGCCGAAAATCAGGTTAGGAAACCATATTGTAATTTTTTTTTTTTTTTTTTGCCATAGGATATATCTAAGCTGCCGAATATATGTTGATTCTTATGAAGATCGTGTCATGTTGATAAGGTCTTGCTTTTGTTAGTGAACTTATTATCTACACACTACCTATTCATCTGAGATTTTCCAATTGATATAGAAACAGTGAAAGGTAGAAAAAGCTGAGATTTGAGGTAAGACAGTAGTTAACCGAGCTGTTAATTGTTAACATTTTGAAAGACAATGATAAGATAATTGGCAAAATATCTATCCAATCTATTAAAGATAGGGGAAAAAACTAAATCGACAACCATAAAACACAATATCTTTTGACCCTGTAAGCTATCTGTAAGGGAAACCCCTTATAAACTCTGAAGTGCTCAATATTACAATTCCACATCCTTTAACACATTTAGTTTAACTACATAGTGCGTCTTTCTTTCACATGTTTGTTTTTATGCTTGAAATATTATAACATGTCTATCATGTAAAGCAATAATTAAGGTTTGATGCTGGTTATCTAGTTAGAGATGTATTATACTTATCAATTGATTGGAAAACCCACATTTTCTACGCACAGTGGATTGTATGCGGTATCATGTTTCTCTTACGTTTAATTATTGCTTTTATGGTTTTTCCAGGAGATACTGCGGGCAAAGATGCAAATTTATCTGCTTCAACCAAAATGATGATCTAAGATCTGCATTGTTGTCACTTGTCATGATTTTAGAAGCTTTTAGCGTTGGATGGTTGTTAATAAAATATTTTCTTAGAGAGCAGAAGCGTATAACCTTGTCATAGTTTTTTCACTGGCAAATAAATGTAGAACTTGGAGTTGGATAAAGTTATACAGATGAAGATTTTCCTGGAAGAACAAACACAATTTAAAATTTTGTTTTATGTTATATTTTTTTAACAGTTTTGGTGAGCAGATAAAGACAGATACAATTTGTTAGCCGAGAGGATACTATTTGTTAGCCAAGAGGATACTACTATCTTCAAATATTAGCCCATTAAACTTGCCTTGTTGCAAATATGCAGGACATGACTAGCACAAAGTTGTTCCATCATGTCATTTTTCTTTATTTATGAAATGGCATAATGGTTAATGTCGTATAAGATTACTATCTATCCTTCTATTCAGCTTTACTTGTGACTTTCGGAAGGGTTTTTTAACACATGCATTCAATTGAATTAAATTACATTATAGTGTCACTTATAAGTTTGTTTTTAAATATATTTAGAAATATCTATATGGTGCTATTTTATTAGATGCATGTATATAAATTATAATCTTAAAAAAAAATAAACATTAAATCATAGTAGTTTTAAGGGAATTTTGGAGAATAGGCAAACATGTGATGATGCATTAATACTTTTAGGATATCGGTTGGATTGAAACTAGACGAAGACGTATGTAAATTTGTTTTGAATGCATGAGATTGAGTGCACGTAAACATACGCCATATGAGATGTGACCTTTTAGTAATCTTAATATAAGTGTTGAAATAGGTGTAAATTGTGACCATATGCTGCTTCATTCATTCAATGGAAAAGGTAACCATATGATCACATTTGTTTTAGCATCCATTTTGTTCTTGACATCCTCTGTTTTCAACCAAAATCCCCCAAATATCAGTCTTCTTCTCACCCTCTGCTACGGTTTGTGCGGCTATTCCTGCTGGAATTCAAATGTGTGTTAATGCTGCGATTTACAACTTATTTGAAAAGTTTGTTAATAATTGGACCATTAATTCGTTTTTGAGCTACTTTAAGTTTAATTTTTATATATGATGTTCTGGTTTTGCAATGGTTTTGATCATCGGCCCATTGCTCCTTCAAATACTCTCCAAAAGTTACCATAGTCCATATATGATTAGGGATGTCAGTTTGGACCTGTTAATGAGGATTCCCGCGGAAAACGCCCCATTCGGGGCTCCAAATATGGGAAATTTTCTCCCGTGGGGGCGGGGATGGGGAGAAAAATTCCCCCGAAAGCATTTCGGGGACGGGGACGGGGAATACACCCCCCGCCCCGCCTATTATTTTAATATAGTTAATTTAATATATATATTTTAGATTAGGTTTTTTAGTCATTTCTTTTATGTTTATTTATAAAAATAAATAAATAAATATTCATGTATTTATTAAGAGAGAGAAATGTAAATACTAGTATTTTTTAATAACATAATAAATATGTGAATTCTTTGTGCTTTTTATTTTTATAGAAAATATAAACATTTTAAAAAAATAAAATATTAATGAATAAATGTAGGATCTATGGGGATCCCCGCGGGGAACGGGGATCCGCGGGGAACGGGGATGGGGATAGAAATTCCCCCGTGACGGAGATCGGAGACGGGGAATGAATTTGATGGCGGGGAAAAAGATGGGGAAGTGTCCCCCCGGCCCCGCCCCGCCCCATTGACATCCCTATATATGATATTTTGAATCGAGATTAGTCTTAGCATATATTTTACAATAGTAACTGGTCCACATTTGCATGTTTATAATAGTGTGTTAAAATATGGTAAACACTAATGCTTGCATTTTCAAACTTCTTTTAACATAATGAAACTGGTTCAAATGTAGGGAAAAACTGTCAAGGTTCCAACATTTTTTGTTCCTCTACACAAAAGGTGTCTGTAGGTGTACCAACTTATATTCGAAACTATGGACTATGTTTCCAGTTTCAGCAATGTTAATCACGGGATTCATGGATTGAACATGCCACTCCTTACATCTTTTTCAGGTTTGGATGAACATATACTGCAGCAGCATCTGCATTAACAGGTTTTGTAACTAATCCAAGAAAGTTCTTGTAGTGTGATATCATAGGCAAAAAAGAAGTTCAAGTGTATAGCAAAAACTAATTAGTGTCAATGTAGAGTTCATGTTTTGTTTGGTAAACATGAAAAGACTGCAGCATATCACTGAAGATGATAGAACCTATGTAGCAAAAAGACACTTTAGATTAAAGATGTGTTGGATCTTTGACACGAACACGTACACCACGTCAACATGTGTCTCCGTTCAATCACTTTCGTTTCTTCAATTTATTATTCGTGTTTATGTGTCAGTGTCAATGTTATGTCAGTGTCAGTATAAGTTCTTTAGAACAACAAAATGCTAGTCCAAAAATCCAACCAGCTTAACGAGATTCTCATTCTACAAAATGCTACTCATCATATACATATAAAAAACCAAGAGATAAATACATAAATATAAATACATAATTATATTTTGTATGATATAATGTGTATAAGAGTTATGTGAAATCCCAATAATTTCAAATAGGAATGACACTAAAGAACTAAAAAAATGAGAATAATAATGAAAATCACAATTTAGTCCTTTCCCATGATCCACCACGCATGCATGCAATGCTACCTCAGGCTGTCTTGTCACAGAAGGCTGGAACTGCCGTCGGCAGAAGAAGTTTGTCGGCGACTATTCTTGTTGGCCTTGGCCTTGGCTTTAGGGTCACCACCACATACAATGGAGCACTCTACACCGCAGATATTACTAAAGCAAGAAAACAACCCATTCCCTCCGTCTGTATGCCTCCGCGAGTGGCGGCTAGATTTAGTTTTCGTCGTGTTTGTTGTTGGTAAGCTCGACAGCTCACCTTGGTCTATCACCGGGGGCAACTCCGTCCGCCACCTCTCTAATTTTGACCCCAACCCTTCCACACTCTCATCCAAGCTCCACCCTCCCACTGTTGAGTTATCCTCATCGATCACTGGCTTCTTGGCTATTGCAGCCGCAACCTCTGATGGAGATGGTCCCAGCTCAGACTCTGTCATCATAACCGGCCTCATGTTAGCCAAGTTGGATCTCATCGGTGTTGCATATTCCATTCCACCATTCAACTTTCCAAACGGATGCTTCGGGGTCCCCCTGTGCGAACCGCCAAATCCCATTGCAGGGTTGAACTTCGAAACTGCCGGAGAATTCCTAAAATGTGGCGCCACCGCTGGGGAGTTTTGAAACTGAGGCATTGGGGAATTCCTGAACTGTGGCATAGGGGAATTCCTAACTTGCTGCATAGGCGAATTCTTATACTCCGGCATAGGCGAATTCCTAACGTGCTGCATAGGCGAATTCTTATACTCTGGCATAGGCGAATTCCTAACTTGCTGCATAGGTGTATTCTTATACTCCGGCATAGGCGAATTCCTGAACTGTGGCATTGGAGAATTCCTAAACTCTGGCATTGGCGAGTTTTTAAACTGTGGCTTAGGAGAGTCCTCATATTCGGGCATAGTCGGAGATCTCATATGCTTAGGCTTTGGAGAGTTCTCATATTCTGGCATAGTCGGAGATCTCATATGCTTAGGCTTTGGAGAATTCTTATACTCTGGCTTCGGAGATTTATGAAACTGCGGTTTAGGAGAATTCTTAAACTCTGGCATGGGAGAGTTCTTAAACTGTGGCTTTGGAGAGTTCTTATATTCCGGCATAGTCGGGGATTTCATAAAGTTTGGCTTGGGAGAGTTCTTATATTCCGGCATAGTCGGGGATTTCATAAAGTTCGGCTTGGGAGAGTTTTTAAACTCCACCATCGGAGATTTTGGATAATGACGATTCGGCGTGGCCTTAACTTGATAGGCAAAGTTCTGTTTCTCATGCATATCAGTGTCTCTTGTAGCAGCTTCAGAGATAGTGTTAACAAACGAAACATCCTTCTCGTTAACATCAATATCATTATCATCATGATAATGATCGTGATGATTATCATTATCAGTTTCATCATAGTTGGCGCATTCGTCGTGGCTAAACCGTGGTGGCGGCGGCGGTTCAACGTGTGAATCAGAAGGAGCAGCACTTGTTTTTCCATTTTTAACTATCCACGGAACAACCTTATCGCTGAGAACACTGCTAATGATAGAACTTGCCTCCTCCTCATGGGAGGCTTTTTTCTTCTTATTTTTCTTCTTCTTCTTCTTTTTATTCACCTTATTATCGCTAACTTCAGAACCAGAAATTGCAGAATTAGCTTTTTCCTTATTAATAATAGCACGTTGGTGACGCAAAACCGATTCACATGCAATAACGGAACTGGTATCACTTTTGGTTCGTCGGAGTTCATGTTTTCCACCACCACCTCCACCACCACCTTTGTCAGCACCGAAAACATGAGGACTAAGATGATTATGGCTATCATAAGCATCTTTTTCTCCCATCAAATGCCGATAACCAACCGCAGAAGCATTCAAAGTATAAAGCGGCATACTCCTCATGGAACTATCCAAAACCGTTACACCAATATTAAGAATCCCCTGAGGCCTCCCGGAAGGGCGACGAACCTGAAGCGCCACAAACCGCATACCAAGCGGAGCATGGTCGTTATGAAAAGGTCTAGCCGGCGGAGGAATAAGGTTTCCGACAAGGACACGAACGGTGCCAACGTGGATGTCTTTGAACCAATGCAATGCATAGATCTCAATCATGATCGCCGAAGTGTCGCTGTATAGAAAGTCATCGTCAACGCGGAAAACGAATTTGTCGTTCCATGTTGGATTGGTGTGGCCTTGTGTGTCGACACGTGTGGAAAGTTTTCTGTCGGGATGAACCCATGAAACCGCGTAGGTTCGCATGTTTCTTCCGACGGAAGCCAAATCCTGCGCTGAGATGACATTTAGTTCAAGTAATTGAAAGGGTGCCAATATTTGCGACATTGTTAACGATTATGATGAGAATGAGAACGATGTTTAATTTATTTGAGTTTGTAGGATCTGACGTATTTTTTGTAGAGTTTTTCGGAAGTTTTGGAGCGTTTGAGAGTTTTGATCCAGGAGAAGGTGAAAAGGGAAGATAAATGGAGGTGGGTGCGATGGGAGGGAGGAGGGGTGCCGCTCGGAGTCGTCCGGGAGGAGGACGACGTAGGAGGGCGCGGCATGAAGAGGGGGAGGGACTAAAGAAGAGAGAAGGAAATGAGAAAACATGAAAATAAGGTGTTTGCTGTCATTTTTTCGGTTCCGTCACTCTGTTACTCAAACCACACCCAATCATTTCTTCATTTACTTCCGCTTTTTTCGTTACCCATTGCCATTTTCTAATTATTTTCCCTTTTCTTTCTCTGTTGTTGGGATTTTGACAAACATGCTCCTTTCGTTCAACAATGTTTTTAACAACCAAAATCTCTCTTACCAATTTATATTAAAAAAAATTTAAAAAAATCTGAGGTTGTATTATGTTCCTATTATGAAAAAAATAGAGAAAAGAGGATACGACACTCTCTGTGCATCATCATTAAATTAAAATATATATATTAGTAAGTGGTTGTAATGTAGTGATTGTGTAAAAAAATTTATACCGACATTACATAACAATTAATTCTTTTTTTAAATAATCAATTTTTTTTAAATATATAAATTAATATATTTTCAAAATAAATATTAAAAACCACTTTTACAAAAAAAATTCATCATATATAAGTGGAACCACATTAAGCCGCGCATGCACTCTAATTAATAAAGAGGCGTCATACTCTATAACGCATACACCTATGTAATGTTATGCAGTGTGGCGTATGTACTATAATATTAGGTATATGCGTCAGCGTCATACAGTATGGATGTTCAGCTATTTTTTTATAAAATTATTTTAAAAAAATAATATATAAATATTAAATAAAAGAATTAATATTTAATAATATTAAAAAAATTACACGATGGTTGAAGATATATTTATTGACCCAAACGCCGAAAGGTTTCACAGTTTCTCCCCACATTTCTCTTCGAGGTCTCAATTGATTTTTCTGAAGTGTTTAGGGTCTTCTAGTATTCGTATGAGCTAGAGGTGCTTCGTTTGATGGTCTTCAGTTATCATACAATTCGTCGATCATTTATTTCTAGTTTGTGGTGGTACCAAAGAGTTCGGTGTCTATGTTGTCATTGTTGGGTCGTGGCGGGTTGGGTTACGTGTAGGCGGAGTGGTTGGTTAAATTAGAACGTTGAATCGTTTTGGAAACGAAGCAATGGTTCTTGTGGCGGTGTGATGGTTGGTTGTACATTGGTTGGGTGTTATGGTAGGATGTGGTGGTATCATATGGGTGTATATGAAAGATGAACACTTGAATTATAAATTTTGAAATTTAGGCAAAATTTGATTGAAAGAGGTGAGTTTTGAATTTGAAATATCAAGTATTTATAAGATCATAAAACCTCTTTGAAACATGGTAATGTTATACAAAAATACCATGAATAATTGTCAAGTTGAAATAAGCAGTTTAAATGAAAAGGTGCATGAAAAGTTATTGGTTTTTCAAATTCGTTTAGTGAGCAATTGATTGCTCTTGAGTGCAAATCCATTGCACATCAAGTCAATAGTTTAAAAATGAAAAAATATTTGTAATGCTCAGTGAGAAATCGATTTGCATTAAGTGTAAATCGATTGCACTTAGAAAATTTTCAGATTTTTGTTTTAAGAAACTTGTGAAAGTATGTGAGTATGTTATACAATCATGTTTTGATCTTTGAGCATCTAAGACTTAAGTACTTGAAAAGAATTATTATTATACCTTTTAAAAATTACCAAGTGCTTTGAATCAAAGTTTTTAAACATGATGCTTTAGCTTGATTAACATCTTTGCCTTCTTGCCATTATGATTTGTCTTCATCAAAACAAAGTTCTTTATTGAGAATCTTGATTTCACATATTCAGTTTCACAATTCTCATCACACAAGCAATATAAATGAAAAGCAAACACATGGTTAGCTTCAGGACAATCATATCTATATTTTATCTTTAGAAATTGAACACAAATGATGTATGTATGATAGTTTTTGAAGGAGGTCAGATTTTACCTCTTTGGAGAAAAGTCTAAATCTTATTCTATGACTTCTTAGTGAAATGTGATTATCCTATGAGCTTGCTGGGACCTTCCTGAATCTATTTCAACCCTTACTTTTCTTTGAAAGTTTCTGAAATGTTCTAGCCAAATCAAGTTGCAAGCCACGATTTTTGAGTTTGGAGGATGATGATGTTATAGAAGTGTAACATGGGTTTAGACAAGTTATAAATGGTGATTATTAGGTGTTTGGATAGTTATCTTGCAAAGATACGGCAAGGGTGATGAACTTTGAAGTTGAGGTTTTCAAGGTTCAAAAATGGAGTTTTTGAATCAATTTTGAATTTGAGAGAGTTTAGAGGTGTTTGAGAGCTATGAATTGGTGTGTTTGAAGTGCAAATAGGCCCTCCATTTATAGATAAAACTCAGAGGTAATGAGATAGACAAGTTCTCAAGTTATCAAGTTATGGGTTAATTCAAATTCAAAGATCAAGTTATGTGAAAATTTCATGGTTCCAATGTATAGTACAAGGAGTTGCTGGTATAAAGAGGTTGTTTTCTTGATTTAGGGTGGAGTGTGATCAGAAGAAAGTAGAGGTATGGGCCCAACGAAAGCTTTATACAAAAATCTTACTTTTCAAGAATGACAATGGTACCTTTCTTTCTAAAATGGAAAGTAAACTTGACAATAGCTTGTATCACTTGGGTAAAGGCTTAAGGAAAGTTTTGTACAAAAAGCTTACTTTTCAAGAATGGCAATGATACCTTTCTTTCTAAAATGACAAGTAAAATGGACAATAGCTTGTATCACTTGGGTAAAAGCTCAAAAGCTTGTGTACTCTTCTGGTTTTCGATAGATTTAGAGATACTATGGCCTGAAAAGTAAGATTGTATAACATGGCTTGGAGATTTGATCACAAAGTTATCTCAAAAATGACTTGTAATGCAACTTTGATCACCCAACTCCATCTCTTCGAAACTTCTAACTCAAGTAAGATAAATTCATGCCCTTGAACAGTTTGGAAAGCTTGAAACATTATCTACAACTTTCATGTTAAAAACTTCTGTTGAATCAATTTAGATCTTAGTGAAAAATGGCCATGAAATTGAGATGAAAAACTGATCAAAATTGTTTGGCAAATTTCTTTAAGTGTTGGCAGAACTTCACATGCCCATATCTCTTAATTTGAGAATTTTTTTGAGATCAATCCTCATTGATAAAATTATAGAAATTTTCATTCCCTTCAACTTTCATGTTGAGAGTTTTCTTTAAATCAACTTGCATCTTGGTGAAATTTGCTTGTGAAGTTAGGGCTTTTTAGGCACAAACACTTGAATTTTTTTGTGTTGAAAAATCTTTCAACTTTGACTTTTGTTTATTTTCTTGATTCTTTTGATTCTTGATGATCAAGTTTTATGAATTTGAATGTTTTGATGATCCTTGATCTTTGAAGTTCAATGTTGATCAAAAAGTCCATGTTTAACTTTTGTTTGACAATTGACTTTTCATCAGTTGATTCTAATTCATTCACTATTAACCAATTGCATCTTTGAAAATATCTTAGGCCATATAGTTAAGCCAAGATGTTGCATTTGAGTTATTTGAATTATGCTTCAAGCCATTAGGTCATGCACTGAGCCAAAAGTCAATGATCCACTAATTTCAATCAAAATCCTAATTGATCAAGACTTGTATTTATGAAGACTTTTTGATTAAAAACCTGGTTGACACAAGGAACAAACACACGACTATTTTTATATTTTGTTAGAGATACAATGATGCATTCGAAGTGGGATATTAGATCAAAAATTAGGACACAACACATGCTTTCCCACACTAACTCATACTTTTTTTAAAGAAAAATAATATTATATATAAAAGGGGTTAAAAAAACACCAAAGTAAAACATAAATAAAATAAAGCATTAGGTGTGACGAGATACAACTAAAGATAAAAAAGAAACAACAGAAGAAAAACAAACAACATGACGAATCCTACCAACAAGACAGTCAAAAGGATCCCCGTAGATAAAGACCCTGACTACTAAAATCCACAATGATAGCAGTATGTTAGATCTCAAACCACTAGATTCACCATTAACATATCAAATAACAACAAAAGAGCACAAAAAAATTAAATACCAAAGAGAATCCTAGGCCTTCAATATTCTTGAGTTAAACCGTAAAAATGTACCTAAACCTGAGCTATATTGTTTTGCTGCAAATTAGGCATGAAGTCTTTAGACCAAGGAAACGACTTGAGAATCCCCGGTGATAAATTCCATGCCCCTAACGCACGAACCCTTCAGACATATTCTAAGAATGAGAATACGAATTCAAAGAAACCCTTTCCTAAGGATACGATTCTCCATTTTCCTAAATTCTTCCAAAAAGCGGAGAACTTCTCTCGAATTTTGGCCCGTAGAGAGGGGTTTGGAACATTTTGGCCAAAGAACCCTACCGTGAAGATTATGCTTACATGATTCAACTCTAGCTTGGTACTCATCTTCAGGGATTGTGATGGATAATCGATCCCCTTTGAGAATAGGTTGCGGCAATTGAGAAATTGGGGTATCACATACCCCATTGAGAGCTCCAGCGAAAGGTTTTTGTTGGGGCTTAGGGGATGAATGTAACATCCCGATTTAATTAAAATTATTTTTAATTAAATAATAAAGTGATATGGTGTATTTATATGAATTTGTGGATTTTATTATGTGGTGTGATGTCTTGTTGAGGACTAGATGCATTAGAATAATGGGAGTTGATGTTATAGGTGTGTATGGCTAAATGTGGAGAGACATGGAGGTGTGTAGTGTAATATGAATTATTATTATTATTATTATTATTATAATAATAATAATAATTATTATTATTATCATTATAATATTAGGATTATTATTATTTTATAATAATAATTAAATAATAATTTAATTGGGATAGTTATATTATTATTGGATTATAAGAGGTGAAAATAGAGAGAATAGAGTCAGAACGTGAAAAACAGAAGAGAAGCGTAAAAGTGAGAAGAGAAGAACGAAGAGAAGAGCATACAAGATATGGCGTGGAGTCTACGGTAGAGTGCTTAGAATCATCAAACCTAAGGTAAAGGTGGGGTTCTTACTCCCTAATAGGCGGTATAATTGTGAGTAGATGAAGGTTTGAATGTAGGGTTTTGGGTGTAGACTAATTGTTAAACTGTTGTTACAATTGTTTGTGATTGATGAAATTGATGTATCGTTTGCATTAGAATTATGGTATATGATGTGTGTTGATGACTTAAAATAATGGAAGCATTTGATCTTTCATGAAAATAGATTTTTGGGTGAAGAAGATGGGATTTCGTAGTAGAAAAATTAAGTTTTTGGATATGTTCGCGATGGGTAATCATTTACCATATGTGGGTAACCGGTTACCGTTGTTGTGTTTTGAAAATAATTGACTACTGGCTTGCAGTAACCGGTTCCCATAAGTGGGTGATCGGTTACCGCGGGGAATTTTGGAAAATCGAGGTTACTGTCTTGCGGTAACCGGTTATCACTGCTACTGACAGCATTTTTGGAAAACTTTGAAAAATCATAACTTTCGCCTCGGGTGTCTGTTTGACGTACCGTTTGGACCGTTAAAAATCTAAAAACATTTTCTATATTGTGATAATAATTTTGATAACAGTGGGTGAATTATTTTTTGGTTGAAGGCTTATGCCTTGGGTGTCAGTGTCAGTTGTTGTAGCTTAATTGGGATGGCCATATTTTAATGATAAATTGTTGTCGTCGTGAAATTAATCTTGAGGATTTTTGTGTTGAAGTGATGTGATATTTTATATCTTATGATGATTACCTTGGTGAAGGCTTATGTCTTGTGTGTTAATGTTGTATGAAGTGTGATGCATATTATTGTTATTAAACGTGATGATGTTGTATGAATGATGTATGAATGTACTGCATAATATATTGCAATATGGAAAAGATGTTGTTGTTGGCCTGGAATTGGTATGATTTGATGGTTATGCTTATGATTGCATAACTTTGGTTGTGGCATGTCGCATTTCATGCATCGTTGAGAGCTTATGTCCTGGCCTTTATGACAAATGTTAAGGGCTTATGTCATGACCTTTATGGCAAATGTTGAGGGCTTATGCTCTGGCCTTTATGACAACTATTAAGGACTTATGTCCTGGCCTATATGATAATTTGTTGAGGGCTTATACCCTGATGGTACCACATGCATCTTGCACCAGTGTCAGTCGCACTACATTTGTTGAATTATTGATATTCGATGAAGTTGAGTTTTATGCTTGATTTATGTCGTATGATGGGTGATAATAATTAAGTGTGTATCCGTGTAATCGTTATGAACTATAATTGATGATTGTGGGACTCGAAATCTTGTATGATATATTTGTTGTTTATTCGTGATTATATGACTTATTATATTGTCATGATATCTCACCCTTACTGCTTGAATGTTGCCTCTACGTGGGTAACATGCAGATAGCTAGGAGTAGTGCGAAGTCGCAGAGTCTAGAAGAGGTTGCTTTCTATTATTGAGTGCGTGTTATTGCTCTGATACGTGCATCGGGGGATGAACGTTTGCTTGTTTATTTTAGCTTTTGTTTTATTTTGAAGAATTGTGGGAGTGTTGTAGACTCTCTTCATTTGAATTAAAACATTGTTTGTGATGAATTGAAGATGTTGAAAATAATTATGATTTCGTTCTGTTGTATTAATAAAGTTGAAGATTGAAGACTATGTTGAAATGTTGTCGGTTCGTCTGAAATATGTGTTATGTGTCAGTTATATCTTAATTGAGCAAAAATCGAATATGTTAAATGATGTGACATCCTATTTGTTGTTGATGTGAAAATTTTATTTTACTCTGATTATTATTAAAATTTACCGTTGGAAAAATAGAATATTACACTGAAAGCATGATTTTGGGAGTTGAAGGTGCCACAAGGACCCATGATATCGAAAAAGGTTCCATCATTAAATAAAGAGCGGTCAAATAGTTTCATTGAAGATGACACTGAATAGTGTTAGGATTTTTGCCATAGTTTCTCTCTAAGTTAGATCTAATGTACATTATTCTTAAAATATATATTTTTATATTTATAATAATGAAAACTATATACAATTAACAAAATTAATTTAAAGTAATATAATTTTAAGAATAAATGCAATCTATTTGTGTAAAAACTTTAAATAATGTTTAATATGAAATCAATGGAATAACATATTTTGGTCGCAACTTGGTGAGTGTTGGGATCATTAGTAAATAAGTCAACCCATTGATTTGATTTGAGAAGCATAAAGATTCAATGTAATGGAAGAGTTTGATTACCATTTTTCTTAGACTATTCCACGTGACGAGAGACTTTCCTCCTACTCTTCTTTAACATAATCACGTTATCTTGTTTCTTGCACCTTGATTTATCAGTGCCACAATCTCAATATCTCAGTACTTTTGTCTCTTTTCGCAACACTGCTAGAAATGCCATTATTATCATAGAGATTGCTTTATAAGCACACAATCTCTCAACTCCCCAAATCTAGTAACTATCTAACTATAGCACCATGGAAGAAGAGTTTCAATCAACCTTGCGTTCATCTCCATCATTTGAAATATACAACAAATCTCATCATCATGAAGATAATGAACAAGTTTTGAAAAGAACCGTTTTGAGTTTAGAAACCATTGGTAGTGATGAGTTCAGCTTTGAAAGGGGCACAATGGATTTGATTGAAGAAGCTGAGAATGATTGGTCAACTGAGATTCAGAACTTGAATATTAATGATGATGAAGATGTTCAACCTTCTACTCCTCCTATGTATCTTGCAACAGGACTTGGAGTTGATGGTGCTGATAATAATGATATGTTGTTTGTTCCCAGTTTGCAAGAAAGTGAGGATCTTCAAGAGTATTACAAGAGAATGGTTCATGAGTATCCCTCTCACCCTTTGATTCTGAAAAAATATGCACACTTTTTACAAGTGAGTTGTTTCTTTTTTTAGGGTTTTGTTTCTTATTTTTACAATTAGTTGACTAAAATAGCTCTCATGATAATGGTTTTAATAGTTTTATTTGCATATGCTTTGATTCTGAGTGAATAGATGCAGGTCTTAGTTTTTGAGCTGTGTTATTTTGATAAACATTTTGAGGAGTATGGTGTTTGTTGGGATGCTGATTTCGAGTTTGAATGATAGGGTAAGGGGGAACTTCAAGATGCAGAGGAGTACTTTCATCGCGCTACTCAAGCTGATCCTAATGATGGCGAAATCTTGATGCACTATGCGAAGCTGGTGTGGGAGAGTCATCGTGACAGAGATAGAGCATCTCTCAATTTTGAACGTGCAGCTCAAGTTTCGCCTCAAGACAGGTAACAACACTACTTCCATGTTTTATGGAAGAAACTGGAATGTTCTCTTTAAACTTGCCAAATGTTGAGTTTTCCATTAATAAAGAATAAGAGTTACCATGTATGTTACATCCTTTTCAGCGATGTTCTTGCAGCATATGCTAGTTTTCTCTGGGAAACAGAAGATGATGAGAATGAAGATGGAAATCGTCAAACCCAGGTGTGACTTTTTCCCTCTCTCGCTCTCTCTATGTATCTATCTATCTATCTTAGGGCCCTTGTTTTCTAGATGACCCACATTGTTATTGAATACTTCAAGATTGTAATTGAATACAGAATGACATGGATGTCAAGACCTCAAAAGAAGAAAATGGTGTAGAAAATCTTACACCTAAGTTAAATGAAGACATAAACGATGCGGATTATCTAAAGAAGATGATTGATGAGAATCCTAAAAATCCTTTATTTCTAAAAAAGTATGCTCAGTTTCTGTTTCAGGTGAGACTTTAATCTCTTTTTTCTTTCGGGCGCATAGGCATCATTTGAGAATAATGTTAGGCATGATTCAACATTATTACTTGGTATATGAGGCTTATAAGATTGCATTACTCCACCTTAAAATAATATGCAGACAAAGAAAGATCTTGAAGCAGCAGAGGGCTACTACTCAAGAGCAGTCTCAGCCGATCCAAGCAACGGTGAAACCATATCAGAATATGCTAAACTACAGTGGGAACTTCATCATGATCAGGAAAAAGTCTTGTCTTTGTTTGAACAAGCAGTTCAAGCTACCCCTGAAGATAGGTACAATTTTTGAGACACGTCTTTAAGATATAGAAAATGTTTTGTTACTTCACATTTCTATTAAGCTAACACGAGAAGAAGAAAAAATGAAATTCGTAAGTTGTTACAGAACATTAGTTATTTTGTTACGAGTTTAGTTTGCTTGTTATTCATCTAGCAAGGTCTAAACATAGAGCAATTTTATCTCCTTTTCTACAATTTTTTTAACACGATTCCTTATGAGATTTTCCCTCACTTTTCAAGCTATTGGGCTTCCGTTTTCGCTACATTTATCAAATCCTTCGTCGTTAAGAGAAATTTACTAAAACAATTTAGATACAACATACAAGTGCTTAACATTTTTTTTTGCTTCCAGCAATGTTCTTGCAGCATATACATGCTTTCTTTGGGAGACAGAGGACGGCGAAAGCTGAATTCGAAAGCAGAGCCAGACTCAATAGATCTTCTGCTGGAAAATGCCATGAAATGACTGTTGCTTCTTTTCAAGACAGGTTGCTTGAACAAAGGCAGATAAATAGAGGAAGCAGCAAGATTAGCTCATCTATAGCTTCAAGAAAGCCATAATGTTATTCTTTTTTATTTGCTGAATTTTTTTTTCTAGAATAACAAAGCTAACTACAATCACCATAAATTTACCATCCATTATTAGTGCTCTTTTTTGAAAGATCAGGATTCTAAAACAAATCAATTTATTGATTAGTAAAAGGAAGATGCAAGAAATCATCAAAATGTTCTAAATAATAGGATAAGATCAAAACTAATTTTGAATATAATTGTAATATTGATAATTATATTATATGTCATATAAATGATATTAAAATTGAATTGCTATGCCCTATCATATCAGTGTCACAAACATGATTTTTAAAAATACTTGGTATAAAATATTTAGTAGTTGTGATTGACTCATAGTATAAATATTTTTTACATTGATAATATATAAATTAAATTTTTTAAAAATTATATTACGACGTACTTCAATATAAAAATACTAAATAAATAAGGCCATTAATAATTTAGTTTTAAAGTCATATAATTATTTATTTTTTTAAAATTATAATTAGTTATTATAATCAAAACCCTTCCAGTTTTCTCATCTTCAAAATTTATATAAATTGATTAGCTAAATTTATATAAAAGGATTTAGTCAAAAAAGAAAAAATACTAAAGAAATTTTTTAATATGTTTAGTTTCGCCAAATTGATTAAACTGTTATTAACCCCTTTACAATCTTAATCAAAAAATACATATCTTCCTTCAATTGAATTCATTACTCAAACTATGAACTTTTTTAATCCAATATCAAATAATTGTGAAGTTGTTTTTATTTTAAACCCTAATTTCAATTATACAAAATAATTCAATTTCTTTACCAAAATGTAACATTCTAGACCTTTTAAACAATTTCTTATTTTAAATCTATCATAAATACTAATTATTACAGTAAAATTTGACTATTTTGTAAAAGAAAAAATTGTAAAAAACCATCAAGACAATTATGTGTCTCAACCAAAAATCGCGGATTAACCATCGAGATATTGACATTCGTTTGAAAAATTAATCTTTTCAACATTTGATATTAGGAAAGAATAATTTATCTCTTTGATATACTGATACATTAAAATAACAGACATCAAATTCTTTATCCTGAAACACTCTTTCTAAAATAACTCAAATATGAAGCAAAATAAAAAATAAGATATATAATACCTCGGGCATTGACTTATTGCTTAACAAGCTTACATCCACACAGCACACACAAGTAAACATTGAAAATCAATGCTGAAGTATTAAGCATGTAATCATGTTTCCATCAAAACATGCATTATATTATTCTTTCCATTTTCCTTGAGAGGGAAACTAGTCCTAGATTAAGATCATCATATGTTGGAACTAAAACCTCCAGGGCCTATGTAAATTATCAGATTTTGTGATAGCTTTATGGACCTTTTTCTTTCCTACAGGATCAGTTTTATGTTTTGACTTAGACTCTACGCATTCTCTTGTGTCTGAAGCAATATCGGTAGTGTCATGTGATTTCACTTTACATTGAGCAAGAGAATGTCTATTTGGTGAAACGGTACTATTGGTCGGAGCAGAAAGTCTTCCATTTCCAATCTTGTTTCTGTTTCCAATCAGTAGGTCATTCTCTGAAAACAAAATTGAGACAGAACTTTATAGTCATGTCAATAAATCGTGAATAACACAGAAAACATATGCAGAATGAGGAAACTAGAATTAACATGCATTCAGTAATAAGTGATGGTGCCTTCAATAATTACAAAGATGCAAAATGAGGAAACTGGAATTAGCATGCATTCGGTATAATTGATGGTGATTTCAATAATTACAAATATTCAACTGTGTTGGAGCATTGTATTGCACAGCGACAAACAAGGAATGCAATTCTCTTCTAAATCAGCTAGAAGTGAAAGCTATTTTAGAATATTTTAAGCTTCTTATAGTCATTCAGAAAATATCTTAAGAGGCTCTATTCTCACTTTATGCATCCTATATATGTTTTGAAGCAAACCCTGCTCTTTATTAGAACGAAAAGTGACTGGCCGCATGATTCTTGGAATTGTTATCACAATGATATTGCATGTGTTAATTTGCATTAAATTTAAAATAGAACGATGGAAAACCAGCCTACTACATACAATAGTTTTGCTATTCAGGTTTTGAGATCAGTAGAATGAAAATCTAAGAAACCACCTGCTGCACCCACCATGCATTCTGGTGTCGAGCCAATGAATTCTCTATGAAAGAGGCAATTCACTTCACTGTCTCCCTTTCTTAACCTCATAGTGAATAAAACGAGACCCCTTGCAATGGGATAAAGTTAACATTGAGATGCACCAAAAACAAATGGACTGCTCAAACAAAAGTGACAGCAGCTAAAGAAAACTCTTGCCCTCTTTGCTTTCAATTGGCCTTATCTTAATTTCTTTCCAAGGATGATTCTTTTCATCCTTCTGACGAGCAAAAGCTTTAGTTAGACTAATTTAAAGCCAGTGAATTTTCTGAAAAGGGGTCACAAATAATAGGGATCTTCTCCATTTGTCAAAAGAAATAGAGAGTTCCATTACTATAGTTTTCTGTGTATATAGGCACACAAATTTATAGATAACATGTGACATGCATTAAACATTTATACGACTTTATACACTAAAGTGATGGGGAGAATCTCAACTTGAGCACAGAGGATCTCCTCTTCCTGATTAACATAGAATGCTTACTGACACCTTGCATGATCCATAGCTCTCCATTTCTATTGCAGTTTTACTACACAACAATACTAATACACTTCCCATTGAGAAGACCCCTAAATATGTCTCCCAACAATATAATACTAACAGGGTCATCCCAATTTATTTAGAGGCCTAAAGTACAATTTATTGTGAGGCTTTAAAAAATAGCATAAAGCTTAAAAAAAACTAAAAAGTTAAATTTTGCACAACCCAAAGATAGAACTTGAGACATTGGATATATGAGGCACCAATTTTAACCAACTAAGCTAAGCAAATATTCATGAAAATTTGTCATATTATATATTTATAACTAAGTTTATTTTTTGAGTAAAAATTTTGAGGCCTGATGACCTAGCTTTGGTGGCTTGGCCTTGGGGCCGACCTTGAATACTAGGCAATATTCCTTGAGAATTTCTTAATGCATCCTAAGTGTTTCTTAGGCACCAGTGTGAATTCCCAAAAATGCTCCCAGGAACCGGAAATGTATTCCCGGTGCACACTCTATTATATGAAATAACATACAAACCAGAAGTACATTTACGGTTTCCAAACCAATGTTGTATTTCCGCTTACACTCTAAATGAACTAAATAGTTAGACTGCGAGAAGCCACACCCTACCACGTTGATACGAACCGGAAATGCAACACCGGTTCCAAACCGTAAGTGTATTTTCGATTTGTATTTTGACATATATTCGCGCTACCTCTTCCCCTTCCTCATTTGCTGCAAACACAAACAAAACACAAAACCTCCCAAAATCCCATTATTCCAAAATACTCATTGTTTCAAAATCCATCAATTTATCGCAACACATAAGGAAATCATCAAGTATAATCGGAATCAACCAAGGAGAATCAATCATTGTAAGTTGTTTTTAAGCATTATTGAATTTTTTTTATTATACATACAAATTGTGTTTTAGTGTAGTAAAATGTAGTTTTTTTAGTTCTTGCAATGTTTGAAGTCAATGCGGAAGTGTTAGCCATGTCTTTTTGACGATCAATGCTTGTTTTTTTGTCCCCATTAGAGGTCAGCTTCGCCATTGACGAACCTGTTAAGTTGCAGGTCGTACCAGAAGTGTATTTCCGGTTTTGTTCTTGACTAAAACCGGAAGTATACTTCTGGTTATGCATCAGTCAATTTTTCCACTATTTTATGTACAAGAGTGTTATTGTTTAATACTTGTTTCGTTTATTCTACAAGTATTATGGTTGAGAGACCATCCAGAATGCGACACGGGAGACTTTTACAGCATGCTTCCGTGCGTAGGGAAAGGATTCAGGCTTTTCAGGCTCCTAGACAGGTCGTGCTGGATGCGCCCATTGACGATGGTGTTTCTACTTCCACTCCGTCGACCAACAGGCGAGAGTCTCCTGTCCATCCATCTCCGCCGCCGTCCTCCCACAGACGTACGTCCTCACCGCAGATATCCGGACCAAGAGAGACATCCGGTTCTCACCCACAGACTACATTCAGTCCATACCTCTCCACCTCCTTCCTCCCACGGACACCCTATGGTCTTTGAGACAAGAGAGACTTCTTCTTCCCAGCCGACACCTGCTCCCACCCAGCCTACACAGGTTCCCACCCAGCAGACACCAGAGGCCACCCAGTCTGCACCGACGGCCCATCCACAGCCTGCATCAGAGGCCCATCCACAACCTGCACCAGAGGCAGCACCAAAGGCGGTACCAGAGGCGCCTCAGGCCTTTAGAGGAGGGTCTTTTGATTTGTCATTATTGTCGTTGTATCCGGACCATGTTGCCAGACACTTATGAGACAGAGAGGTAAAAATTTCATTTAGCAATTGTTACATATTGTGTTTTTTTTTTTTGCCAAGTATTGTGTTCATTTAAGTCTTGGGTGTATATCTATCCATGCAGGACCGCGATCCACTCGAGATAATTAATCATGCTAGGAAGATCAGTCGCCTGGGACCACCCTATTTACCGTGGAATTTGGTAAACAGTCGTTGATCTTCCAAATCTTTGTAGAAATGGTAACTAGCAGGATCGATCAGATTGATCCTAAGTACATGTGTTCTTATTTAATGTTTTATGTTCTTATAACAAAGAGTATTTTCAACAACATTTTCGTAATAATCATTATTATTTTAGATAAATGTTATTTCAAAGACCCCTATTTATACTAATTTCGACCA